GTGATGGAGAGAATGAATCCAAGCTGCAAAATACTTTTCAGGATATTATCCAGAAAATTTTCCCAATCTAGCAAAGCAGGACACTATTCAACCCCAGGTAATACAGAGAACACCACAAAGATATTCCTCAAGAAGAGCAACCCCAAGGCACATAATCGTTAGATTCACCAGGATTGAAATGGAGAAAATACTAAGGGCAGCCAGAGAGAAAGGCCAGGTTACCCATAAAGGGAAGCCTATTAGACTTACAGCAGATCTCTCAGCGGAAACCCTACATGCCAGAAGAGAGTGGGGGCCAATATTCAATATACTTAAAGAACAGAACTTTCAGCCTAGAATCTCATATCCTGCCAAACTAAGCTTCACAATTGAAGAAAAAATAAAATCTTTTATGAACAAGCAAGTACTCAGAGATTTTATTACCACCAGGCCTGCTTTACAAAAACTTCTGAAAGAAGCATTATACATAGAAAGGAACAACCAGTATTAGCCTTTCTAAAAATATACCAAAAAGTAAACAGCATCAACATAAAGAAGAATTTACATCAATGAATGGATAAAATAGCCAGTTAACATCAAATGGCAGTAACCCTAAATTTAAATCGACTAAATCCCCCAATCAAAAGATACAGCCAAAACCTAACGGTATATCCAAAGATACACAAAGACTCAAAACAAAGGGTTGGAGAAAAATTTACCAACCAAATGGAGAGCAAAAATAAATAAATAAACAAAAAGCAGGAGTTGCAATTCTCGCATTTGATAAAATAGATTTCAAAGCAACAAAGATACAGTGGTAAAAGGATCAATGCAACAATAAGATATCTTAATACCCAGATACATAAGACCCATAACGAGATTTAGACTCAACGAGACAGAAAATTAATAAGGATATCCAGGACTTCACCTCAGATCTGGAACAAGTAAACTCAATAAATATTTATAGAGTTCTCCATTTTAAATACACAAAATATTGATCGGCCATTATAAATACCCATTTTTAGAATGAAGCAATATTCCTGTTCTCTCTCCCTCTTTTTCTTCCTCTTTTTCCCTCTCCTTCTCTCCTTTTTTTACTTTTCAACATCCTAGTTCCTCACCTCTACTCAATACATTCCTCTGAACACCTGATTCCTTGTGATTCTCCCGTCCCACTGAAACCTCCAATCCATTAAAAAAAAAAAAAGAAAGTAAATGTGTGACAAGATTCTAGAAGGAATTTTCATGAGAAGAACAATAAAATTGACCTGAATTGGGCAATTAGTGTCCCATAAATGTTATGTTATCAGATATAGAGAATACCAAAAAGTTGGTAGAGAGAAACTGTCTTTCCTTTTTCTGTTTCTTGGTTATAAAACACACACATTGGCTCTCTTTTCTGACCAAAAAAAAAAAGAAATAGACAACATTAGGTTGGGCATGGTGGCTCATGCCTATAATCCAAGCACTTTGGGAGGCCCAGGCAGGCAGATCATGAGGTCAGGAGTTTGAGACCAGCCTGGCCAACATTTAGCCCCTCCCTACTAAAAATACAAAAAATTAGCCAGGGTGGTGGCAAGTGCCTGTAATCCCAGCTGCCCAGGAGGCTGAGGCAGGAGAATCGCTTGAACCCAGAAGGCGGAGGTTGTAGTGAGCCGAGACTGTGCCACTGCACTCCAGCCTGGGCAACAGAGCAAGACTCTGTATTGAAAAAGAAAGAAATGGACAACACTGAGTAATTGAGTGTAGGTCAATACTTAGGTACTTAGGTAACCATCAGTCTGTCTCTCGCCTACCATTTCTTTCTCCTTCCTATTCTTACTCTCTCCTCCCTCAAGTTGAATCTCCCAATTTAAATAACAAAAGAAGTTTTTCCACGAATACAGACTTCAGCCCATTGTTTTGCAATGTCCTTCTGACAGATGTGTCTTTGGTCACACAATTAAATTTCATGTACACCAGAGACTGAAGACTCCATTAGTTCCCTATTAATGTCAGACTAACAACAAAAACTCAAGCTGGGCACAATGGCTTGCACCTGTAATCCTAGCTACTCAGGAGGCTGAGGCGGGAGAATCGCTGGAGTCTGGGAGTTCAAGACCAGCCTGGGCAACAAAATGAGATCCTGTTTCAAAAACAAAATGAAACAAAACAAAAAACTTCTTTGCTTAAAATTCCAGGTTTTCTGTATTTATCTTCTTCACTAGACTCGAATCAGCTCCTTGATGGTAGGGATCAAGGTAATTGGCATCTCTGTACCTCTGACTCTTTGCATCAAGTCTACTGAAACCATGGCAGGTGCTTGAATAAATGAGGAGCAGAACTGGTCCCAACTTATCATTCCAAGCTCATCCCACACCACTTCCCCAACTTGCCCTACCTCCAGTTACAGTGAGCTTTTTCTATTGCCCTCAGTAGGCCTTTTTCTTTTAGGATTTACTGCCTTTTCCTTCATTGATTCTTCTGCTGTAATGGTCCTCCCTGCTGGCCTGGCTGGCTCATTCTTCAAGACCCACTTCAGTTACCAGCAACTATGCTGAAGCCTTTCCGAACCCCTGGGCAAAATTAGTAATTCCCTTTACAAGTCTTGAACAGTTGCCTGTTCACATCTTGAATATGGCACTTTGTATACTATTGAAAGCATCTGCTGCCAGGCACCATGGCTCATGCCTGTAATCCCAGTACTTTGGGAGGCCAAGGCAGGTGGATCATGAGGTCAGAATATTGAGACCATCCTGGCCAACATGGTGAAACCCCATCTCTACTAAAAATGAAAAAAATTAGCTGGGTACAGTGGAACACAGCTGTAGTCCCAGCTGCTGAGGTAGGAGAATTGCTTGAACCCGGGGGCTGGAGGTTGCAGTGAGCCGAGATTGCGCCATTGCACTCCAGCCTGGGCTACAGAGCAAGACTCCGTCTCAAAAAAAAAGAGTTACAAAGCGTTGTTTATATTAGCCATCATGGAAGTGCAAATTAAAACCATGGTGAAATACCACTGCACATTTATCAAAATGGCTAACATAAAAAAATTTGGACAACACCAAATATTGGGGAAAATAAGGAAAAACTAAATAATTTATACATTGCTGGTGAGAATGTAAAATAGTACAGCCACTCTGGAAAACAGTTTGGCAGTTTTTTACAAAGTTAAACGTATACTTACCATATAACCAAGCAAACTCCTGAAAATTTATCCTAGAGAAATGAAAATTATGTTTACACAGACATTTATACACAAATATTTATTGCAGCTTTATCTGTAGCAACCAAAAACTGGAAACAACCTAAATGCCCTTTAAAAACTAGATGGATAAGCAGATGGTGGGACATCCATACCATGAAATATTACTCAGTGATAAGGAGGGAACTATTGATATACCCAGCAACTCAGATGGATCTCAAAGTCATGCTCAATGGAAAAAGCCAATCTTAAAGGTTAAATATTATATAATTCTATTTATATAAGCTTCTTGAAATAGTCAAATAATAATATGGGGAATGGATCAGAAGTTAGGGAGAGAGAAGGAAATAAAGGATAGCAATACACTGGCTTCTTTTGTAGTGACAGATTGGGTTTGTATCTTTTTTTTTTAATTCATCTTCTAGGTCCGTTGTTTTTTTTTGTTTGTTTGTTTGTTTGAGACAAGAGTGTTAATCTGTCATCCAGGCCAGAGTGCAGTGGCATGATCTTGGCTCACTTCAACCTCTGCCTCCCAACTTCAGGAGTAGCTGAGACTACAGGCATGCACCACCATGCCCAGCTAATTTTTTTTTTTTGTCTTTTTAGTAGAGATAGATTTCGTCATGTTGGCCAGGCTAGTCACCAGCTCCTGACCTCAAGTGATCCTCCTCCCAAAGTGCTGGGATGACAGGCCTGAGCCTTCGCCCGGGGATTACTTTCCACGTGAGATTTGGGCAGGGACAAATTTCCAAAATATATATCACACACACACACACACACACACACACACACAGAGAGAGAGAGAGAGAGAGAGAGAGAGAGAGAGAGAGAGAGAGAGAGAGAGAGAATATGAGTGCAGGCAAAACCTGGTGAAATCTTTTTCTTTTTCTTTTCTTTTTTTTTTTTTGAGACAGAGCTGATGCCTCAGCCACCCAAGTAGCTGGGATTACAGGTGCCTGCCACCATACCTGGCTAAATTTTTTTGTCTTTTTAGTGGAGATGGGGCTTCGCCATGTTGGCCAGGCTGGTCACGAACTCCTGGCCTCAAGTGATCTGCCTCCGAAAGTGCTGGGATGACAGGCCTGAGCCACCATTTCAACCTGAGATTTGGGCAGGGACAAATTTTCAAACTATATCACACACACACACACACACACACACACAAATACAAGTACAGGAAAAACCTGGTAAAATCTTTTTTTAAAGCAATCTTCCTGTCTCAGCCTCCCAAGTATTTGGGATAACAGGTATGTGCCACCACATCCGACTAATTTTTGGATTTTTAGTAGAAATAGGGTTTCACCATGTTGGCTATGCTAGTCCTGAATTCCTGGCCTCAAGTAATCCACCTTCATTGGCCTCCCAAAGTGCTGGGATTACAGGCGCAAGCCACCACTCCTGGCTGATATTCATAACTGTTGACCTGGTAATTGCCATTTCTGGCCATTTCTCCTAAGGAACTAATCCCCTAAAAGGTAAACACTATAGTTATTCTCATTTGTGATAACAAAATATCCACATACAAAACAAGTGTTCCAAGAGGTAGGCAAACTAATTAAGTAAATTATAGTACATCTAGTAACCGTAATATTGTTTAAATAATAAATTGATGACTATGAAACAAACAGTTATATTGTTATGTATGCATATGAAGAAATAAATGTAATTTTATTTGCTTAATGTTACTTTGATGTATATGTAATTTTATAACATAATACTGAGGTGTAGCTAATGGATTAATAAAGTTGAGAGTTTCTGAATGGTTACCTGTTGCTTTTAATTTTGGCACTGGTAACTATTTTAAATTCTTTATTGAACCCCTGGTCTTTTTTGTTTCCAGTTCTGTCCACTTTGCCGTTTAATACCTGATGAGAATCCAACCAGCTTCAGTGGCAGTTTAATAAGACATCTGCAAGTTAGTCACACTTTGTTTTATGACGATTTCATAGTAAGTATATTTTCTTATTTTTACATTATGTTTTTATGGTGTTTGTGTTGAGCTTACCTTTCTAATCCAAGTGAATAAAATTATGGAGGAAATAATGTGTGTATAGTTAGAGTGTTGCGTTTTAGCCTTAAGTAGGAAATCATGAAAATAGAATGTTTTGACCCAGCACAGTGGCTCACGCCTGTAATCCCAACGCTTTGGGACTTAAGGTCAAGAGTTTGAGACCAGCCTGGCCAATGTGGTGAAATCCTATCTCTACTAAAAATAAAAAAATTAGGCCAGTTTCAGTGGCTCACGCATGTAATCCCAGCACTTTGGGATCTGCCCGAGGTGAGCAGATCATGAGATCAAGAGATGGAGACCACCCTGGCTGACATGGTGAAACCCCATCTCTACTAAAAGTACAAAAAATCAGTTGGGCATAGTGGCACACACCTGTAGTCCCAGCTACTTGGAAGACTGAAGCAGGAGAATCCCTTGAACCAGGGATGCGGAGATTGTAGTGAGCCAAGATTGCACCACTGCAATTTAGCCTGGGTGACAGTGAGATTCCATCTCAAAAAAAAAAAGAAAAAAAAAGAGAATGTTTTCCCTGGATCCTAGATGAGGTTATTTTCATTGTAATTTTCTAAATCCGGAAAATCGCAATAGTTGTATAATAAAGTGTTAGACTTAGTTTTTTGTTTTTTGTTTTTTTTGAGACAGAGTCTCACTCTGTCGCTCAGGCTAGAGTGCAGTGGCACAATCTTGGCTCACTGTAACCTCCGCCTCCCAGGTTTATGCAATTCTCCTACCTCAGCCTCCCAAGCAGCTGGGATTATAGACATGCACTACCACATGGTGCATTTTTCTCTATTTTTATTAGGGAAGGAGTTTCACCATTTGGCCAGGCTAGTCTTGAACTCCTGACCTTGTGATCCACCCACCTCAGCCTCTCAAAGTGCTGGGATTACAGGCGTGAGCCACCGTGCCTGGCCAGACTTAGTTTTTAAATTAGTTTTTACTCTAGTCTATTCCTATACATAGTAATAATTATTATTAAATCGAGAGCTTATTAGCTGAGATGAAATTACATAAAAAATGAAATGCAATGTCAAGATAAAATTTGATAATGATTGGAAATCATCATTTAAGAATTTTCTCCATGTTTTCGATCTGCCTATTATTATTATCCAGATAGGATGCTGGGACCTCTGTTTCTAAACTAGTTTTTTTTTTTTTCCCCCCTTGACAGAGTCTTGCTCTGTCATCAAGGCTGAAGTTCAGTGGCCTGATCTCTGCTCACGGCAACTTCTGCCTCCTGGGTTCAGCAATTCTCCTGCCTCAACCTCCCAAGTAGCAGGGTGCTACCCTTATAGGTTTGCGCCACTATGCCCAGCTAATTTTTTTTGTATTTTTGGTAGAGACAGGGTTTCACCATGTTGGCCAGGCTTGTCTTGAACTCCTGACTTTGTGATCTGCCATCCCCGACCTCTCAAAGTGCTGGGATTACAGGCTTGAGCCACCGTATGTGGACTCTAAACTAAGCAATAGCTCTGTCACCTGTGTGACCTTGTAGAAGGTATTTAACCTCTGAAACTCAGTTTGTCCATTGGTTAAGGGAGGAGATTAAAAGCACCTACTCCCAAAACTCTTTTGAGGATTAAATGAGCTAATGTATATAAAGTGATTTGCATAGTTCAGGAGCAGATGTTAGGCAAGTTGGAGATGGGATGGGAGTGGAATTGTTAGGACCACTTGAGGAACTGAACAAGGAACATGACAGAGACTTTAAATTCTCCACTCCATATTTCTAAGCATGTCTTTTGTGGCCTATACAGCACACGGGCCTCAACAGAACTTGGTTCTGGTCTTTGTGTTCTCTCTGGTAATACAAAGAGGTTTCTCTTTATCTTAGCTCTATGAGATGTTCTAAAAGCCAGGTGGATTTTATGCCTCTTCTGGCTAATCATCTTCAGCCTATTCTCAAGATCTTTCAGACAAAGCATGATCCAGAGCTAGTCAGGATGAAGCCACTTTGATAAGAATACTTTCTAGCCACTCACAGCTATATTCTTGGGTATGAAAGTGAGCCTGAAGTAGTGTTTTTTGTTTTTATTTTTTTGCTTACAGGGCTACTATATTCTAAGCCAAGTACTCTATGTACATATCACATTTCATTCCTTGCAGCAACTTCTGTGAAAAGTGAATACCGTATTGTTATCTTAATTTAACTGAAATATCTGAAGCTCAAAGGTTAACTAAATCACCTAAGAACAAGCCAATATCAAGACCAAACCTTGTGCTCTACTGGGCTTTATGGCTTTTCTTTGGATTTTTGTGGGGTTTTTTGTTTGTTTGTTTGTTTTTAGAATGTTGCAGAATGGACTTTGAATAGAGATTTCTCTTTTTCTTATTATGGGAGAGGAGAGGGATTACAGAGGATAGTATTCTTAATGGCTTTTGTTTTGCTTATAGAATGTGCTGACATAAGTTATGAATTCCACTTTGACACATAGAGAGGCAAGGAGAAAGTTTTGTTTTTAACGTTTTCTTCCAAAATAGCTATTCAGTAGTACTGCTGGCCTTGGTGAAGCCTGCGGGGATGCCTGAACATTGCTCCATTTTACAGGTTTGTGTGGAACATAACACTCCGACCAGGATTTGTAATGTTGACTAAATACTTCTATTACATCAGATAAAAACTTCAAATTTCCAATCAAGACGTTTTAGTATAACAGTGACTAGTTAATACATAGACAGCAAAGTGAAGTAGAAAATTCATTGGCCCCAAAGCAAAAGTCTTGGGTTCTATGACAGGCTTTGTGGAACCTCGGACAAGTCTCCTAAGTTTAGTTCCCTGCAAAATGAGGGTGTTGCCTTGACCTTCATCCTCCAGTTTCTGAAATACTATTGAATCTAAAACTTCTAATTATTTTTCTTTATTGTAGGATTTTAATATAATTGAGGAAGCTCTTATCCGAAGAGTCTTAGATCAGTCACTTCTTGAATATGTGAATCACTCAAACACCACATAATTTTATTAAAAGGAAGGGAAAAGGGACCACTGAATCGCACCATTTAAGACGCTGCTTGAAAAAATTGGAAGCTGTCAATGCTTGATGGGCAAAAATGAACAACACAGTTATATGTTTGTCCATGTTTATTGTTATAGTGCATTTTAAAACTGCTTTAATTTTGATGGCTTAAATCGGTTTTACGTTCTTGAGATTTTTACACATTTAACAACAAAAAATTGTCTGCATCAGTCATTATTATATGGAGAAGACACAGGGTAGGCAAGTAGGATCTTGGTTTGCAAATTAGATAACACTCAGTATCTAATGCTACATATTAATAACTCCCATCATGGTTAGGCACGGTAACTAATCTTTGTTCTATGTAAAAAAAAAAAAAGTGAAACAAAGTACAGACATTCAAAAAAATACGAACTCTGCTCTAATGCTCTTGTTCTGATCTCTAATAGAATAACATTAATAATCTTGTATGGGAGTTAGAAAGGAAAATTTTGGAAGTCAAGAAAGTCCATTTAGGCTGGGTGCTGTGGCTCATGCTTGTAATCCCAGTACTTTTAGAGGCCGAAGTGGGTGGATAATGAGGTCAGGAGTTTGTGACCAGACTGGCCAACACAGTGAAACTCCATCTCTACTAAAAATTAAAAAATTAGCTGGGCATGGTGTCAGGTACCTGTAATCCCACCTACTCGGGAGGCTGAGGCAAGAGAATCTCTTGAACCCAGAAGGCAGAGATTGCAGTGAGCCAAGATTGCACCACTGCACTCCAGCCTGGGTGACAGAGCTAGACTCTGTCTCAAAAAAAAAAAAAAAGAAAGAAAGAAAGCCCATTTAACCAAATTGTATTACATAATACTGTAACAAAATAAATTTTGTGTTAGAAAAGTATACTTAATTCTTTGATGTTTTATAACTATGAATACATAAGAATTTAGTGTTTTTCAAATATTTGTAGCTATTTAGAAATATCTCTGTAATATAGGCTATTTCTTAAAAGCCGTCAGATGATATTTACAGAAGTATTTGCATGCATACTTTATAGTATATAGGAAACCCTAAGGGCTTTGATTTCTTTTTTGATTGTAACATTTTAAAAAATTATAAAATAAGAGTACTGAAAACCAGACACAAAATTTATAGCTGAATGCATTATTGGAAGGAAATACGCTTTTAGGACTCAGCCACTCACTCCACATGTACTTTTTGTATCCAGTCACAATTACAACCCACAAAAGGAACCACTAGACTGACTTCAACAGTAATCACTTGTTGCATTTGATTATTGCTGTCACACCTAAATGCACCTCTATATTTTAGTATTATGAATTTAAATTTGTTATTAGATGTATCTTTTATTTTACCTCTCTTTTTAAATCTTTAAGTTCCTCCTTCTTTCCAGCTCTTTAAAATTTATCTGGGAAGAACCTGACTTTAGGACATAAAAGAGTTTCCCATAATCTGTATTTTGCTGATTTCACATTGAAGGCACCATTCAGCACATTCCCTTGTCCTCTGGATATTGGCAAATGGCTCAGATTCAGGCACATTGAATATGAGAAGACTCAGGTTCAGTCTTTTTGGCAAGACTGTAAGACATGGTGTGTTGTTTCTTTTTCTTTTTCTCTCTCTCTTTTTTTTTTTTTTTGAGACAGAGTCTCACTTTGTTGCCCAGGCTATAGTGCAGTGGTATGATCTCAACTCACTGCAACCTCTGCCTCCCCAGTTCAAGCAATTCTCCTGTCTCAGCCTCCCAGGTAGGTGGGACTACAGGTGCATCTACCATGCCCAGCTAATTTTTGTATTTTTAGTAGAGAGAAAGTTTCATCATATTGGTCAAGCTGGTCTTGAACTCCTGACCTCAGGTGATCCACCAGCCTCAGTCTCTCAAACTGCTGGGATTACAGGTGTGCGCCACTGCACCCAGCTATTTTTTATATTTTTAGTAGAGACAGGGTTTCACCGTGATAGCCAGGCTGGTCTCAAACTCTTGACCTCATGATCCGCCCACCTCAGCCTCCCAAAGTGCTGAGATTACAGGCGTGAGCCACCCTGCCCAACCTACAGAATTTTTATCTAATCGTTTTGTTACAACTATATCTCTATTCTTATTTACTAGGAGTCCTGGTTTTCAAGAACAGGAGGCATGATGGAATAAAAACCTCTCATAATTATTCATTTCTTTTATTTACCCTACACTTGCAACTGTCTCAGAATAACAATACAAATACAACCACAACCAATATGGTAATTGAAACAATTAAAAAGTTTTTTATTTGCTTTTTCCATTCTCCCCCAATTTTTTTTTTAGACAGATTCTTTCTCTTTTTGCCCAGGTTGGAGTTCAATGGCACAATCTCGGCTCACTGCAACGTCTATCTGCTGGGTTCAAGTGATTCTCCTGCCTCAGCCTCCCAAGTAGTTGGTGCATCCCACAGGCATGCACCAACATGCCCAGCTAATTTTTGTATTTTTAGTAGAGGCAGAGTTTCACCCTGTTGGCCAGGATGGCCTTGATCTCTTGACATTGTGATCTGCCCACCTCGGCCTCCCAAAGGGCTGGGATTACAGGTGTGAGCCACCGGCCCAGCCTGCCCCAGTTTTTATTTGATGGCTCTGACTGTTTCTCATATCTGACCCTTTAATTATGAATCCAGGACATAGATTAGTATCTCCATCTTGAAACGAAGCAAAGAAGCCATGAAAATGAATTATATCAATTCCTGAGGATAAAATGTTGTTTGACTAGAGTTTGCTTTTTAATTGTAATCATTTATAAACTTCTTTGTTCCTTTACATATAAGCATAGTCATAATCATGGTGCCCGAAATTTTCTGTAAGTTATCGTAACATTTTAAAGGTCTTGTTACAGTTTTTCCATCCAGTACAAATAATTGGGAAAATGTAAAGCTGAATGAAATGTAGTGGGCCTCATATCCTCCCTTTTAGATATGGGTTTTAAGTTTGCTTTTCACAGCTGCTAAAAAGTAACAACTGATTTTTAATTGCACAATCTCTCTTTCTTCAATTTAGATGGATTATACAATAAAGCAAAACCTGACTGGTTACAGTGGCTCACACCTATAATCCCAGCACTGTGGGGCGCTGAGGTGGGACAGTCACATGAGCCTAGGAGTTTAAGACTCTGGGCAGTATAGTAAAACTTCTCTTAAAAAAAAAAAAAGCTGGACATAATGCATACCTTTAGTCTCAGCTACTGGGGAGACTGAGATGGGAGGATCACTTGAGTCTAAGAGGTCAACGCTGCAGTGAGCTATGATCACACCACGGCACTCCAGCCTGGGCAACAGAGCAAGACTCTGTCTCCAAAAACATAAATAATTAAATATAAATAAAAATAAAGCAAAAGCTGTTAGGAAACAAGAGAAAAAGGAGAGGAATTTTTCGGAAATAATTATAAAAAGAAAAATTATTTTCAGACTATAAGTCTAGCCCCTAAGAAATGAAAACATAAGATTGGTGTTGACCGTGCAGACAAACCTTTGTTAATTCAGAGCAATACAAAAGACACCTTTAATCTATAAAAGTTGAAAAAATTTAAAAATTGCGTTTTGCATAAAGTTTTAAGGCATCTGTCACTAACTTCAATACCACAATTCTGACTCCTGTGCCTGGGTTCCTCTTATGATAATTTTGCCTCCTACAGGACAGATTAGGTGCTGGTCGCCTGGATTATTTTGTATTCTGAATTATTTTGAGTTCTAAAATGGCGAAGTACAAATACTCATTGTTTCACTGTGCCTTTGGCCTTTTATAAAAAGATATTTATAATTTGTTGCTGAAAACCAATATTTGAAGATGTTGGTTACCAACAGAAAAGTTTCACTCTCTTTATAGTCCCTCAGTATACAACTTTTTGGAGGCTTTATTAGAGAAAAACTGATTCACATGTTATTCTTCTAAAACTAAATTCTTGTTCGTTTGTTTGTTTGTTTTTTAAAGACGGGTTTCACCATGTTAGTCAGGCTGGTCTTGAACTCCCAACCTCAGGTGATCCACCCACCTTGGCCTCCAAAGTGCTTGGATTACAGGCCTGAGCCACCGCGCCCAGCCTAAAGCTAAGTTTTTAAAATGTAAGTTGAAAGATTGAATTGATTGTAAGTCTACAGTAAAGATATGATTCCAGGTAGAGCTCCTTAGAGACACTGTCTTCAATGATGTTGCATTTCATTACTGTTACCGGGTGCCAAGTGTCTCTCATTTGGAAGTGAACTTACTCCAGTTATTGAATGTTTATTATATCATAATTTGTATTTTCACACATTGAAGGTATTTTATAAAGTCACTAAAAGATTCATTCTTTTATTATTCAACTACAAAAAATTAGTGTAATGATCAGAATTTTAAATGTACAATTATTTTCCTTCTGTAAGTATGTATTGCTATGAGAAATAAAAAAATGGCAGGACCATTGTTTTTATTAAAATCCCTACTGTGTCTATTCTTAAACATTAACCTTGGTTATTTTTTTATGCAAACCTAATAATGCTTTTAAATTTTTCATCATTGAGCAATATCTATCACATGAATGAAGTATACATTCATTTAGGCAGTAATTTTCAGCTGGGGGTAATTTTGTCTTTCAGCCAACATTGGCAATGTCTAGACACATTTTGGGTTGTCCTAACAGGGCTCAGGTGTGCTAGTGGCTTGGGATCTAGATAGAGGTCAGGGATGCTGTTCAACATTCTACAGTGTGCAAGACAGCTCCTCACAACAAAGAATTATCCTGCCCAAAATGGCAAGAGTGCCAAGGCTTAGAAATTCTGATTTCGTCAATGTAATACTGAGCACTATGGAATTGTTATTTATTCTGCTGGCAAGAAGCTTCACTGAAATTTAAAAGGTAAGATGTAGATAGATTCTTCCCCCTGCTAAATCCATACTAAGTTTTGAATGGCTGTAGCTACCCTGCATATCCACATGTCACGAGCATATTAATTTTTGGATTTTTAACAAGAAGAGGTACAGGTGCCTCTTCATGGTCCATGATGCCAGCTGAGGTTGTCAGTACAATGAAACCAAACTGGCGAGATGGGAGCAGATTATGCTGCCATTTTTCTAGATCTTTGAGTTGCACATCAAATCTGGGGCTAATCACTCCACACTTGTTCAGCCTGTCTGTGGGGTTCACAATTTTGCCTGCTCTGTGATTATCAATAATTTCAAACTCTCCAATGTAACCATGCTTCATTATCATAGTTAGAAACGGGACGATGACTTTGGAGAACAGCCCAATAAGAACCTAGTGTTTGCCTCTCTTTTTGGCATTGTTGATGCTCTTGAGATCATCAGCCAGGACATTCATGCACACCATTGTGGTGACATGGAAAGATGGTCAAAAGAGGCTATTTTTTTTGAAATAGGGTCTTGTTCTGTCTTCCAGGCTGAGTGCAGTGGTATGATTACAGCTTACTGCAACCTTGACCTTTTGGGCCCAAGCCATCCTCCCACCTCACCCTCCTTAGTAGCTGGGATCACAGGCATGCACTACCATGCTGGACTAATTTTTTAAATTTTTGTAGGAATGGAGATCTCACTATGTTGCCCAGGCTGGTCTCTAACTCTTGGACTCCAGCCATTTTCTTGCTTTAGCTTCTCAAAGTGTTGGGATCACAGGTGTGAGCCAACACACCTGGACTCCATTATTATGAGAATAAATGCTAAAGGCCTTTCCATGCCCTTCAAAGTCCTTCACAACCTGGTCCCTGCCTACCTCTCCAAACTTCATCTCACTCCACTCTTTCCCTTGATCCTTACACTTGGGCCACTCTGATTGTTAGGTTTATTTACTTAAAATTTTTTTTTTATTAAGACTACAGGCGTGAACCAGGCGCGGTGGCTCACGCTTGTAGTCCCAGCACTTTGGGAGGCCGAGGTGGGTGGATCACGAGGTCAAAAGATCGAGACCATCCTGGTCAACAAGGTGAAACCCCTGGGCATGGTGGTGCACGCCTGTAGTCCCAGCTACTCAGGAGGCTGAGGCAGGAGAATTGCTTGAACCCAGGAGGCGGAGGTTGCTGTGAGCCGAGATCGAGCCATTGCACTCCAGCCTGGGTAACAAGAGCGAAACTCTGTCTCAAAAAAAAAAAATTTTTTTATTTTTTAGGAAGACCTCACCTGAATTTTGTTAGGTTTATTAAACACATTAAATTTACAGTGGGTCCTGCATCTTGGCACTTTCTATTCCTTCTGATTGAAAAGGTCTTCCCTGGAAGTGTGACATGACTACCTTCTAAATCATTCAACTCTCATCTCAAATGCCATCTTCTCCTAAAGGAATTCCCTTGTAGTTCCAGCCAAAGTCACTACTCCACCAAATTTGTCTATAGTTCTATTGTAATTTCTTCATACCTGTACTAGAATGGGAGGTTATGTTATGCATTTATTTTCATTTTTATTGGTTATTTCCTCTCTCTAGAATATAAATTTTTGATTGCAAGTATTCACCACTAAATTCTCCAACATCTAAAACAATGGCACATGGCAGGTACTTGGTAAATATTTCAGCTAACTGTCTAATCTATCATGAGAGCTACTGATGATATACACACATATACATCATCAGTGTGTGATGATAACACACATATAAAACATCCATCATGAAGCAGGAGAATTGCTTAAGCCCAGGTGTTCAGGAGTTTGAGGCTATAGTGCACTATGATAGTGCATGTGAATAGCCACTGCATTCCAGCCTGGGTAACATAGTAAGCCCTCCCCACTTTTTTTTTGAGAAGGAGTCTCGCTCTGTCACCCAGGCTGTGTCACCAGTGCAGTGGTGCGATCTCAGCTCAATGCAACCTCTGCCTCTGCGTTCAAGTGATTCTCCTGCCTTAGCCTCCCAAGTAGCTAGGATTACAGGTACGTACCACCTCGACCAGCTAATTTTTGTATTTTAGCAGGGACAGTGTTTCACCATGTAGGCCAGGCTGGTCTGGAACTCCTGGCCTTAAGTGATCTGCTCATTTCAGCTTCCCAAAGTGCTGGGATTATAGGCATAAGCCACCTCGCCTGGCCACAAAACCCCATTTTTGAAAGAAGAAAAATATCCTAATATTACTCGTAATCAAATATATTAACTTGAACCCTATACTCAGGTACCACTTTTTCTCTCTTAGCATAATGTCTTACATTGTGTGACCTCTAATAATTCTTTTTTTTTGAGACAGTTTTGCTCATTGCCCAGGTTGGAGTACAATGGCACGATCTTGGCTCACCGCAACCTCTACTTTCTGTGTTCAAGCAATTCTCCTGCCTCAGCCTCCTGAGTAGCTGGGATTACAGACATCCGCCACCATGCCCAGCTAATATTTGTATTTTTAGTAGAGACAGGGTTTCACCATGTTGGCCAGGCTGGTCTCGAACTCCTGACTTTGTGATCTGCCTGCCTCGGCCTTTGCAAGTGCTGGGATTACAGGCTTGAGACACCCCGCCTGGCCAGTAATTTTTTGTTTTTTTGAGACATGGTTTCACCCGCTCAGCCAGGCTGGAGTGCAGTAGTGTGACATGGCAGCCTTGACTTTTCAGGCGCAAGCAATCCTCCCACCTCAGCCTCCCAAGTAGCTGGGACTCTAGGCACACACCACCACATCTAGATAATTTTTAAAAATTTTTTGTAGAGATGGGGTCTCACTATGTTGCCTAAACTGGTTGCAAACTATTGGGCTGAAGTGACCCTCCCACCTCAGCCTCCCAAAGTGCTGAAATTACAGGCATGAGCCACCGGGCCCAGCCTTCAGTAAATGTTTTTTGATTCAGCCTATTAGCAAAATTTCTCTGTTAATAATCCCCAAGAAAGGACAATGTGGTGAAATTGGCATATTGGGCTGGTGATAGTGGTATAACTTACCTATTTCTTTTTTTTTTTTTTTTTTAATTAGAGGTCAAAGGTCTCATTGTTGCCCAGGCTGGAGTGCAGTGGCTATTTACAGGCGTGATCCCACTACTGATCAGCATGGGAGTTTTGACCTGCTCCCTTTCCGACCTGGGTCGGTTCACCCTTCCTTAGGCAACCTAGTGGTCTCCCACTCCTGGGAAGTCACCACATTGATGCCAAACTTAGTGCGGACACCCAATCAGCATAGCACACTACAGCCCAGAACTCCTGGGCTCAAGCGATCCTCCCACCTCAGCCTCCCGAGTAGCTGGGACTAAAGGCACACTCCATAGTGCCCAACAACTTACAGATTTCAAAGTAAGTTGTTAGTGATATCTTACCTCTTGGTCCAGTAATTCTACATCTGGAAATATTTCCTAGCATTGTAATCTAAAATGGAATCTATATGTAGGATGAAATTTATTGCAACACCATTCATAATGACAAAAAAAGTAGGACGTAAGAAAGTCTAATAACTCCATGTTGCTGAGCCCCCCTCCCCCAAAAAAGGAAGTCTAATAACCGTTAAATAGTGGCACTTTTCATTGTCACTGTCATTAGGTGAATATCCTTCCTGTAAGAGATAGCTTAAAAATAAGAACAAAAGATCAGTGAATACATCATTCATAGCTGGGCATGGTGGCATGTGCCTGTAGTTCCAACTTCTTTCTTGGGAGGCTGATGCATGAGGATTGTATAAGCCCAGGAGTTCAAGGCCACAATGAGCTATGATCATGCCATTACACTCCAACCTGGGCAACAGAGTGAGACCACATCTCTAAAAAAAAGAAAAAATATATATTATTCAGTTTACTGTCAAGTCAGCTTGGGAAGAAATTTTTGTCTCTAAATTACTATATTTAAACTCTGCTTTAGTTAGTTTTAATTTTCAGAGAGCAATCCTTTTCACTATTTCTTTTCTTTTTTTTTTTTGAGACGGAGTTTCGTTCTTGTTACCCAGGGTGGAGTGCAACAGCGCGATGTCGGCTCACCCCAACCTCTGCCTCCTGGGTTCAAGCAATTCTCCTGCCTCAGCCTCCCGAGTAGCTGGGACTACAGGCGCGCACCACCATGCCCAACTAATTTTTGTATTTTTAGTAGAGATGGAGTTTCACCTTGTTGACCAGGATGGTCTCGATCTCTTGACCTTGTGATCCACCCACCTCGGCCTCCCAAAGTGCTGGGATTCTAGGCGTGAGCCGCGGCGCCCGGCCCTTTTTTTTTTTTTTTGAGGTAGAGTCTCATTTTGTCTCCCAGGCTGGAGTGCACTGGCACAATCACAGCTCGCTGCAACCTCCCTCTCCAGTTTCAAGCGATTCTCCTGCCTCAGTTTCCCGAGTAGCTGGGACTACAGACACACACCACCACAGCTGGCTTATTTTTGTATTTTTAGTAGAGACAGGGTTTCACCAAGTTGGCCAGGCTGGTCTCAAACTCCTGACCTCAGGTGAACCGTCCACCTCACACCTCAGCCACCTAAAGTGCTAGGATTATGAGTGTGAGCCACCATGCCTGGCCTATCCACTATGTTTTCATATACCTCTAAGGGTAT